CCAGGGTGGCAGCAATGCTGGCGGCGCTCTTGTTATTAGGGACCAGGGGGCAGCAAATGCGGAACGGCGCTCTTGTCATTAGGGACCAGGGGGCAGCAAATGCGGACGTGCGCTCTTGTCATTAGGGACAGGGGGCAGCAATGCGACGGCGCTCTTGTCATTAGGGACCAGGACCAGGGGGCAGCAAATGCGGACGCGCTCTTGTTATTAGGGACCGGGCAGGGGCAGCAAATGCGGACGGCGCTCTTGTTATTAGGGACCAGGGGGCAGCAATGCGGACGGCGCTCTTGTTATTAGGGACCAGGGTGGCAGCAAATGCGGCCGGCGCTCTTGTTATAGGGACCAGGGACCAGGGTGCAGAATGCGGACGGCGCTATTGGTTGGGACCAGGGGCAGCAAATGCGGACGGCGCTCTTGTTATTAGGGCCAGGGACCAGGGGGCAGCAAATGCGGACGGCGCCTCTTTGTTTATTATGCCAGGACCATGTACCAGGGGGCAGCAAATGCGGACGTGCGCTCTTGTTATTAGGGACCAGGGACCAGGTGGGCAGCAACATGCGGACGGTGCGCTTTGTCATTAGGGACCAGGGGACCAGGGCAGCAATGCGGACGGCGCTCTCTTTGGTCATTAGGGACCAGGACAGGGGCAGCAAATAGCGGACGGCCGCTCTTGTCATTAGGGACCAGGGGTGGGCAGGCAAATGCGGACGGCGCTCTTGTTATTGGGACCTAGGGACCCAGGGGGCAGCACAATGCGGACGGCGCTCTTGTCATAGGGACCAGGGGGCAGCAAATCGCGGACGGCGCTCTTGTTAATTAGGGACCAGGGGGCAGCAAATGCGGACGGCGTCTTGTATTAGGGACCAGGGGACCAGGGGGCAGCAAATGCGGACGGCGCTCTTGTCATTAGGGACCAGGGGGCAGCAAATGCGGACGGCGCTCTTGTCATTAGGGACCAGGGGGCAGCAAATGCGGACGGCGCTCTTGTCATTAGGGACCAGGGGCAGCAAATGCGGACGGCGCTCTTGTTATTAGGGACCAGGGGGCAGCAAATGCGGACGGCGCTCTTGTTATTAGGGACCAGGGACGAGGGACCAGGGGGCAGCAAATGCGGACGGCGCTCTTGTTATTAGGGACCAGGGACCAGGGACCAGGGGGCAGCAAATGCGGACGGCGCTCTTGTTATTAGGGACCAGGGACCAGGGACCAGGGGGCAGCAAATGCGGACGGCGCTCTTGTTATTAGGGACCAGGGACCAGGGGGCAGCAAATGCGGACGGCGCTCTTGTTATTAGGGACCAGGGACCAGGGGGCAGCAAATGCGGACGGCGCTCTTGTTATTAGGGACCAGGGACCAGGGGGCAGCAAATGCGGACGGCGCTCTTGTTATTAGGGACCAGGGGGCAGCAAATGCGGACGGCGCTCTTGTTATTAGGGACCAGGGACCAGGGGGGCAGCAATGCGGACGGCGCTCTTGTCATTAGGGACCAGGGGCAGCAAATGCGGACGGCGCTCTTGTCATTAGGGACCAGGGGGCAGCAAATGCGGACGGCGCTCTTGTCATTAGGGACCAGGGGGCAGCAAATGCGGACGGCGCTCTGTTATTAGGGACCCAGGGGGCAGCAAATGCGGACGGCGCTCTTGTTATTAGGGACCCAGGGTGGGCAGCAAATGCGGACGGCGCTCTTGTCATTAGGGACCAGGGGCAGCAAATGCGGACGGCGCTCTTGTCATTAGGGACCAGGGGGCAGCAATGCGGACGGCGCTCTTGTCATTAGGGACCGGGGGCAGCAAATGCGGACGGCGCTCTTGTTATTAGGGACCAGGGGGCAGCAAATGCGGACGGCGCTCTTGTTATTAGGGACCAGGGGGCAGCAAATGCGGACGGCGCTCTTGTTATTAGGGACCAGGGGGCAGCAAATGCGGACGGCGCTCTTGTTATTAGGGACCCAGGACCAGGGGGCAGCAAATGCGGACGGCGCTCTTGTTATTAGGGACCAGGGGCAGCAAATGCGGACGGCGCTCTTGTTATTAGGGACCAGGGACCAGGGGGCAGCAAATGCTGACGGCGCTCTTGTTATTAGGGACCAGGGACCAGGGACCAGGGGGCAGCAAATGCGGACGGCGCTCTGTTATTAGGGACCAGGGACCAGGGGCAGGCAAATGCGGACGGTGCTCTTGTCATTAGGGACCAGGGACCAGGGGGCAGCAAATGCGGACGGCGCTCTTGTCATTAGGGACCAGGGGGGCAGCCAATGCGGACAGGCGCTCTTGTCATTAGGGACCAGGGGCAGCAAATGCGGACGGCGCTCTTGTCATTAGGGACCAGGGGGCAGCAAATGCGGACGGCGCTCTTGTCATTAGGGACCAGGGGGCAGCAAATGCGGACGGCGCTCTTGTTATTAGGGACCAGGGGCAGCAAATGCGACGGCGCTCTTGTTATTAGGGACCAGGGACCAGGGGGCAGCAAATGCGGACGGCGCTCTTGTCATTAAGGACCAGGGGGCAGCAAATGCGGACGGCGCTCTTGTCATTAGGGACCAGGGGGCAGCAAATGCGGACGGCGCTCTTGTCATTAGGGCCAGGGGGCAGCAAATGCGGACGGCGCTCTTGTTATTAGGGACCAGGGGGCAGCAAATGCGGACGGCGCTCTTGTTATTAGGGACCAGGGGCAGCAAATGCGGACGGCGCTCTTGTTATTAGGGACCAGGGGGCAGCAAATGCGGACGGCGCTCTTGTTATTAGGGACCAGGGACCAGGGGCAGCAAATGCGGACGGCGCTCTTGTATTAGGTACCAGGGGGCAGCAAATGCGGACGGCGCTCTTGTTATTAGGGACCAGGGACCAGGGGGCAGCAAATGCGGACGGCGCTCTTGTTATTAGGGACCAGGGACCAGGGACCAGGGGGCAGCAAATGCGGACGGCGCTCTTGTTATTAGGGACCAGGGACCAGGGGGCAGCAAATGCGGACGGTGCTCTTGTCATTAGGGACCAGGGACCAGGGGGCAGCAAATGCGGACGGGCGCTCTTGTCATTAGGGACCAGGGGGCAGCAAAATGCGGACGGCGCTCTTGTCATTAGGACCAGGGGCAGCAATGCGGACGGCGCTCTTGTCATTAGGGACCAGGGGCAGCAAATGCGGACGGGCTCTTGTCATTAGGGACCAGGGGGCAGCAAATGCGGACGGCGCTCTTGTTTATTAGGGACCAGGGGGCAGCAAATGCGGACGGCGCTCTTGTTATTAGGGACCAGGGACCAGGGGGCAGCACATGCGGACCGGTTGCTCTTGTTATTAGGGACCAGGGACCAGGGGGCAGCAAATGCGGACGGCGCTCTTGTCATTAGGGACCAGGGGGCCAGCAAATGCGGACGGCGCTCTTGTCATTAGGGACCAGGGGCAGCAATGCGGACGGCGCTCTTGTTATTAGGGACCAGGGGGCAGCAAATGCGGGACGGCGCTCTTGTTATTAGGGACCAGGGACCAGGGGGCAGCAAATGCGGACGGTGCTCTTGTTATTAGGGACCAGGGGGCAGCAAATGCGGACGGCGCTCTTGTCATTAGGGACCAGGGGGCAGCAAATGCGGACGGCGCTCTTGTCATTAGGTACCAGGGGGCAGCAAATGCGGACGGCGCTCTTGTCATTAGGGACCCAGGGGCAGCAATGCGGACGGCGCTCTTGTTATTAGGGACCAGGGACCAGGGGGCAGCAAATGCGGACGGCGCTCTTGTTATAAGGGAACCAGGGGGCAGCAAATGCGGAGCGGCGCTCTTGTCATTAGGGACCAGGGGGCAGCAAATGCGGACGGCGCTCTTGGTCATTAGGGACCAGGGGCAGCAAATGCAGACGGCGCTCTGTCATTAGGGACCAGGGGGCAGCAAATGCGGACGGCGCTCTTGTTATTAGGGACCAGGGACCAGGGGGCAGCAGATCGGACGGTGCTCTTGTTATTAGGGACCAGGGGGCAGCAAATGCGGACGGCGCTCTTGTCATTAGGGACCAGGGGGCAGCAAATGCGGACGGCGCTCTTGTCATTAGGGACCAGGGGGCAGCAAATGCGGACGGCGCTCTTGTCATTAGGGACCAGGGGGCAGCAAATGCGGACGGCGCTCTTGTTATTAGGGACCAGGGACCAGGGGGCAGCAAATGCGGACGGTGCTCTTGTTATTAGGGACCAGGGGGCAGCAAATGCGGACGGCGCTCTTGTCATTAGGGACCAGGGGGCAGCAAATGCGGACGGCGCTCTTGTCATTAGGGACCAGGGGGCAGCAAATGCGGACGGCGCTCTTGTTATTAGGGACCAGGGACCAGGGGGCAGCAAATGCGGACGGTGCTCTTGTTATTAGGGACCAGGGACCAGGGGGCAGCAAATGCGGACGGCGCTCTTGTCATTAGGGACCAGGGGGCAGCAAATGCGGACGGCGCTCTTGTCATTAGGGACCAGGGGGCAGCAAATGCGGACGGCGCTCTTGTTATTAGGGACCAGGGGGCAGCAAATGCGGACGGCGCTCTTGTCATTAGGGACCAGGGGGCAGCAAATGCGGACGGCGCTCTTGTCATTAGGGACCAGGGGGCAGCAAATGCGGACGGCGCTCTTGTCATTAGGGACCAGGGGGCAGCAAATGCGGACGGCGCTCTTGTTATTAGGGACCAGGGACCAGGGGGCAGCAAATGCGGACGGTGCTCTTGTTATTAGGGACCAGGGGGCAGCAAATGCAGACGGCGCTCTTGTCATTAGTGATCTGTGTGCCACTTACATGGTTGGGCTCCCCTTGAGAGCATCCATCCAGTGGTACACTTGCTACTCAACTGCTTTTCTGTGTGTCTGTCGTACCTCAATACATATCTCCCCTGTAAGTTCCAAACCTGAGCTCTGTTGAAAGACGCACTGACAATATCAATTACCAACTCACTTTTACAGGACAAGGAGAAGACCAGAAACCATCTCTCCATCTGTACCCTAAAACAAATGCATCATTTTGTTTTTGTTTTTTGTTTTGAGATGGAGTCTAGCTCTGTTGCCCAGGCTGGAGTGCAGGGGCGCTCACTGCAAGCAAAGAGAAGGCCAAAGACCGAGAAAGTCGGAGAAGCTGTGGCAGCCAGGAACAATCTAACCAGTCACGAGGAGTGAACGTCATGGGGTATCCTGGGTGAAATCCTGAAAACAGGAAAAGGGCATTAATTAAAAGGTAAGGACCTGTTACTGCAGTATCGACTTTAGCTAATAATAACGTCTTCAGTTCACGAATTATGTAGATGTGGCAAAGGAACGTAAGATGTTAATGATGTGGAAATTTGCATGTGGCATCTGGGAATTCTGTACTATGTTTGCAATCTTTCTGTAAAGGTAAAACTATACTTTAAATGTTAAAACAGGGTCAGGGCTAGTGGCTCACACCTGTAATCCCAGCACCTGGTGAGGCAGAGGCAAGAGGATCTCTGGAGGTCACGAGTTTGAGACCAGCCTGGGCAACATAGTGAGACTCTATCTCTACGAAAAAAATTTTAAAAAGTAGCCAGATGTGGTGGTGAACACCTGTAGTCCCAGCTACTTGGGAGGCTGAGGCAGGAGGATTGCCTGAGCCCAGGAGTTTGAGGTTTCAGTGAGTTATGGTGATGTCACTGTACTCCAGCCTGGGTTACAGAGCAAGACTTCTCTCTCCTCCCCCTCCCCCTCCCCCTCTTCTCCTTCCCCTCCCCCTCTTCCCCTTCCCCTCCCCCTCCTCCCCTCCCCTCCTACTCCTCCCCCTCCCCCTCTCCATATATATGTGTGTGTTTATATATATATATATATATATATATATATATATATATGTAATTTCTATCTATATATTATCTACCTACCTACCTACCTATCTATGAGATAAAAAGTTTTCCAGGCTCACAGTTGTAGAAGCTGGGAGAGCAAGATGAAAATGCTGGCATGGTTGATTTCTGGTGAGAATTGTCTTCCTGATTTGTACTTGGTTGTCTTCTCTCTGTGTCTCCCCATGGTAGAGAGAGAGAGAGAGAGAGAGAGAGAGAGAGAGAGAGAGAGAGAAAGATGGAGCAAGGTGTCTGGTGCCTCTTTGTATAAGAGCACTAACCCCATCATGACTTTATCTAAAGCTAATTAGCCCCAAAGACCCCATCTCCAAATACCATCACACCGGGGGGTTAGAGGTTCAGCACATGAATTTTTAGGGAGACACAGTTTATTTTGTTAATGTTTAAAAATTATTCATTTATTTATTTTGAGACAGAGTCTTGCTCTGTTGCCCAGGCTGGAGTGCAGTGGTGGCATCTCAGCTCACTGTGTCCTCTGCCTTCTGGGTTCAGGTGATTCTCCTGCCTCAGTCTCCTGAGTAGCTGGGACTACAGGCACCTGCCACCATGCCTGGCTAGTTTTTGTATTTTTAGTAGAGATGGGGTTTTGCCATGTTGGCCAGGCTGGTCTCAAACTCCTGACCTCGGGTGATCCTCTCAGCTTGGCCTCCTAAAGTGGTGGGATTACAGGCGTGAGCAGCCCATTCATACTCTCTTAATACAGGTTTAGCCTCATGGTGGGGGAGAGGGCAAGGGCCCCTGGGCCACCTCTCCTGCAGAGGTAGATTATGGCCCAGCTGTGCTCACGGCTTTATCCCAGAGCAAGCACTAGGCAGGGGTGTGTCTGTAGGACACTCACTACCTCTCAGGTGTGTGGCAGGATACCTGCTCCAGCCTCAGCCGTCATTCTATAGTGGAGAACCTGCTTACATAGGAATGAGATTGAGGCATATCTAGGAGGCAAGTTAGGTGAAATGCTGGAGTGAACCAGCGTTTCATCAGAGCTGACTCAAGATAACCCTCCAAGAAGCAGAATCTGTAGAAGCGGCCAAGAGCAACCCGGAAGGAGCTTGAGATCATGCAGGCCTCCATGATTTACCAACCAGTGCTCATACACACAGGTGGCAGGTGGAGAATGAGCTCTGGGACCATGGCAGGGTGTTTAGAATTCTCTCATTCTTACCTGTCCCAAACTCCACAATGATGACAATTTCTTTTTATCCTCATGCATTTTACAATAATTGTTGTTATAGTAACATGTATGCTCGCCAGATCTGGAGCAATCACTGTTACTCTTGGAAGGGCTGTTTTCTTGCCTTGTGTTTTAAAGCAGCAACAAGACTACTGTGCTGTTGGATCCTTAACTCCATAATGCAATAGCTGCGGCACACTATTTATAAATGCGGTCATTTCCTTCTGAGGAAAAGATGTGGGTTTGAGACCAGGGGTTCAAGACCAGCCTGGTCAACATAGCAAGATCCCATCTCTACAAAATTTTTTTTTTTTTTTTTTGAGATGGAGTTTTGCTCTTGTTACCCAGGCTGGAGTGCAATGGCACCATCTCGGCTGATTGCAACCTCCGCCTCCTGGGTTCAGGCAATTCTCCTGCTCAGCCTCCTGAATGGCTGGGATTACAGGCACGTGCCACCATGCCCAGCTAATTTTTTGTATTCTTAGTAGAGACGGGGTTTCACCACGTTGACCAGGATGGTCTCGATCTCTTGACCTTGTAATCCACCCGCCTCGGCCTCCCAAAGTGCTGGGATGACAGGCTTGAGCCACCATGCCCGGCCCGCCCCCAATTTTTGTTTTTTTAATTAGCCAGGCAGGCTGGTTGTGGCTCATGCCTGAAATCCCAGCACTTTAGGAGGCTGAGGTGGGTGGAGCGAGACCAGCCTGGCCAACATGGTAAAACCCTATCTTTACTAAAAGTACAAAAAAATTAGGCATGGTGGTGGCCACCTATAATCCCAGCTACTCAGGAGGCTGAGGGAGGAGAATTGCTTGAAGCTGGGAGGCAGGGATTGCAGTGAGCCAAGATTGTGCCACTGCACTCCAGCCTGGGTGACAGAGCAACACTTTGTCAAAAAAAGAAAAAAATAGCCAGGCATGGTGGTAGGCACCTCTAATCCCAGCTACTTGGGAAGCTGAGATGGGAGGATCTAAAAAATGAGGATTTTGGGTTTAGCTTGACTGGAGACCCAGGTTCTTTGATGGAGTAGGAGGTGATACGTAGTGTGTGACATGTTGAAAACCACTGAAGAATTTCAAATTACTCAGTCACCACGTGAGAAGACTGCAGAGTGGCAGGGCTGGGATGAGATCTGTGCACGGTGAACACCTGGTTCATAGTAGGTAGGCAGATCAAGATGCTTAAACCATTGGACTGAGCTCTTGACTGCTGACTTCCAGTCTGGAGTAATGTCTTTGGCAAATCCCAGAGAATAAAATGGCAGCCTTCTCCAGGGCACTAGGCTGCACAAGGCTTGGGTGAGTGTGGACTGGTGCAAAGGTAGCTATGCACCCGGCCCCTGGGCTTGTGTTCCAGAGACCCCATGACCCTCTCATCTTAGCCATCAGATCCATCAGATCCATTCCTTTCCTTTCTGGCTCGTTTTGCCCCAGCTGCTTCTCTTTGCACATCAGGCTGAGCCAGCCTGTCTCTGTTCAGGTCCATCCCATGGTCTCTTCCTTTCTGGCTCGTTTTGCCCCAGTTGCTTCTCTTTGCACATCAGGCTGAGTTCCAGCCTGCCCCTGTTCAGGTCCATCCCATGGTCTCTTTACTATGACATCCTGGGGATCTATTTGGAGTTTGGGGTCATATGAATGTGCAGGTGACTCAGAAGGCTTTTCTACCAGGAGAGGAGTTTGCAGGTGTCAGCACGGCGTTGGGGAGCACAAGCAGCAGAGGGGAAAAGAAGTGTAATGCTGATAGGTTTTTTCATCAAAATATTTCCCCCCAATCTTTTTTTTTCCCTAGACAGAGACTCACTGTGTCAGCCAGGCTGGAGTGCAGTGGCACCATCTCGACTCACTGCAACCTCCGCCTCCCAGGTTCAAGTGATTCTTCTGCCTCAGCCTCCTAAGTAGCACGTACAGGCATGTAATCCCAGTAGCCACCATGCCTGCCTAATTTTTGTATTTTTAGTAGAGATGGGGTTTCACCATGTTGGCCAGGCTGGTCTTGATCTCCTGACCTTGTGACCCACCTACCTCAGCCTCCCAAAGGGCTGCGATTACAGGCATGAGCCACCATGCCCAGCCATTTTCTTTTTCTTTTTTTAAAGGACAGGATCTTGCTCTGTTGCCCAGGCTGGGGTGCAGTGGTGCAATCATAGCTCACTGCAGCTTCGAACTCCTGGGCTCAAGTGATCCTCCCATCTCAATTTCCCAGGTAGCTGGGACTACAGGTGTGGACCACCATGCCTGGCTAAGTTTTGAATTTTTTTTTAATAGAGACAGGATCTGGCTATGTTGCCCAGGCTGGTCTTGAACTCCTGGCCTGAAGTGATCCTCCTGCCTTGGTCTCCCAAAGTGCTGGGATTACAGGTGTGAGCCACCATACGCCTGGCCTTTCTTGTTTTCCTTCTTCTTTTTAAAGTAACCTATTTGAAAGACAACAACCTGGAAATTTTTGAGAGCCTTGTTGCTTGCTGCATGGTCCACTTGGAAAGACTGATCGTTGTCGTGGCCAAAAGCGTGCTCCTAACGAAGGTGCACTGGAGCTTTTATTGGTCACCAGTCGTACACATCTCTTTCCAACTCCACCTTCAGTAATGTCATTTTGGGAGTGGGAATATTGGCACCACAGATATTTGCAAACACCAGGAACCAGCCACCCACCCGGAGCCAACCAGTTTAACCCGGGTTAAACTGCTACCGGCACACCACTGCTTCTAACAGCCTCCTTAACCACCTCTGTCTGCAAAGCAGTGCTCTTACTTTCCTCTGTAACCCCCCTGACCAGTGCCTTCGTCCCGGAGACGTTCACAGCTGTTCCAATCAGGGAAACGGCATGCTTATCAAGAGTCAATTACACTTGTCCCCAAACCTGTTCATGCAAATATATTTCTTATGGCAATTACAGAATTAGGTAAATATTGCGGTACTGATGGAGTGTATAAAAGTAATAGAGTTGTCATTTCTAGGAAAATTAAGTTGAATGCTTGGGAAAGACTTAATAAAGGCAAATTGCTTAACAACCGCTGTCAAATTGAGTGCAGCCAGAGCAACTGTAAAATTTGGGGAATGATGATATAAATCTGGGAGGATTCTGGGCTTCAGCTGCTCTTTTTTTAATTATACTTTAAGTTCTGGGGTACATGTGCAGATCAGTTGCTCTTAAGTGTCTTTAAAATCTTGCTCCATTTCAAGTAAATAAAAC